ATTTCGCCGTAACGAGAGGAGAATCCTCTGGGTTGAGAATGCCTCTCCTCGTGGGACGCGATTTGAATAATCACGATGGCTCTTGAATCGGAAAAAAGTGTCAATCTGCACGCTCGGTGCATGGAACGAGCGAAGCAAAGGGAATAGGGAAAGGGCGAGAACCAAGGGAGAAACGCAAAGACCGGTACCATTAGCGACGCGATGACTGCCGTTACGACGACGACGACGACGACGACGACGACTAGGACGAGTACGAGGAGGATAGAAGGACAAGCCAGCGGCGGCTGCCCAATTAGCGTTAATCCTTGTTAATCCGCGTCTCTCCAATCTGCATTCCTTTGTTCTTCGTCCGGGCCGCTTCGCGGGCCGACTATCGCGACAGTTTACGACGGGAATATTTCGTCGAGACGGTGGTGAACGTGGCGAGCGCGGAGGGGTGGCACGGGAGAACGCCGCGCCGCTGGAAACTAAACGTGGAAGCGAAAGCGAGGGGAGGGAGAAAGCGTCGATACCGAGGGAGAAGTAAGCCGGAACGACGAAGGGATTCCTATCTCTCGATGAGTTTCCACGACAATTTCATTCGCGACTGTCGATCCTTCCGGTGAAACGATGCCGAGGAGGGGACAGAGAGAGATGCGACGCGTCGACGAACTCGAGGAAATATCAAGTAACGAGCATGGCTCGAAACAGGCCAGACTGAAACGCAGTGACAACGTACCTACTACCAACCTACTACCAACCTACTACCCCACCGGCATCCTCGAAATCGCGTGGAAAATGTTGACGCGAAAATAACGAGGAACCAGTCACGGTCGGCGAAAAATCTCTCTTTCTACCCGCGTATCGTCCAGCGAAACGGAAAGTCGAGTGTGCACCACCTACCGAGGGAAATTCGCGAGATCGGCCGAATCGAGAGGGTTGTTTCCGATGCACAGGGGACGAAAAGGGACGCGCTTAGAAATGTTTGTCCCTTCGAAGCGACAAGGCATTGTCCTCTCATCGATGGATCCTGTCTGTGTGTGGCCGCCTCCGGCCGAACGACGAGACAAAACTCTGGATATGCGCGCAAAATCAAAACTACAGTGGCCGTCCGTTGGATGGACCGTCGGTGGACAAAGAGAAGGAGAGGAGGAATCGATGAGAGATGACGGACGCGCGGGACCACGAACCAACCGAGAGATCGACCAAGGAGGGAAGGGTGATTTCAGCGACGCAACGTGACGCGATGCGACGTTCCAGGAGGAAGAGAGAGGAGCCGACAGGACCGGCGTCACCGGTCGCTCCGCTCACATTGTTACCATAATCGGCCTCGGTTGGGCCCATTGTTTGTCATTCAATTTTCCCGCTGGATTTCCACCGCGGACAATGCCAGGGACGCTTTATAAGTCGCGGGAATTACACGAGCGAACAAAGCTCGTAAATATATCTGTTGAATCGTGAAAAACGTCCTACTACTACTCCCTCTGCGTGCTTCTCTCTCTTCCTACGCAGTCCTCGCGCTTCTTTCACTCGAGGTTGCGCCGCGTAAAACGCGGCATAGTATCTTCTCGCGCGGCCGCGCTTACGCCGGGCCATGTACCGGAGGCAACCAGCCGACTAACCGGCCACTGCCGACGAAGCCGCGGAGACCGACGAGTCTACGCGCCAACGGACCAGCGTGAACCATCCTCGTAAATCAGTGGAATTCCGGCTCCGTTCCGGGACAATTTTATGATTTAATCCCGGTGAATGCGCGAAGGCTGTGGTCGCGGTAGCTTCGGAACCCGAGTCCCGCGATATGTATACCGGCTGCACTTGCCGAGATGAATTTCGCGCGGCGCCAAATGGTGACCGCGTGTAAAAATGGTTTGCGGCGGCCGACGGGTAGGTAGGCAGGAGGGCGACCAGCCAACCGGGAGGAGAGGAGGCGCGACGCGACGCGACGCTCGACCAGCGTGAAATTTCAGGACGCTGACCGATGTGCGTGGCAATTTCTCTGAATTTTCGATCGGTTCGAGAGCGTTATTCGGTTAAACCGATAACAAAACGAGCCCTCGATTACCAGATTGACAGGGCACGTCCAATCGATTCCGAGCCTCGAATTCTCCACCCTCGTAATTTCCCTCGCTGACGAGTCTCTCGACTGGCCACGTCGCTCGACTTTTCCACCCTCACACCCGTCCATACCATCCGCGCTCCTCTCTTTCTTTCACATGCGTAACCTTGATCGGAGATTAGGAATGGTCGCGAAAGGGCATCGAGTCATGCGAAGGGTAGCAGCGCGAGATCGGTTCGCGTGACCGCCTAGACTCAGCCGAACAAAAGGTTTCTCGCATTGGTAAATCGCAAATCGAATTAAACTCTCAAGCGGCACGCTATTCCCGATCGCGATTCCAAGTGCGTATAAAAGGAAAGGATCGCGACCAACCAAGTCAAGTGAGTTGCGGAACGTATCCACGACCTCTCCACCGCGTCTCACTTCAAGCCGTGTGCATTATTACTATTATTATTATTATTATTATTATTATTACTATTAGTATTACTATTAGTATTATTATTATTAGTATTATTATTACACACACACACACACACACACACACACACATTTCTATTGTTATACTCCCCCTTCCTTTTGCGTTGTTCGATCCAACCGTAAAGGAAGATATCCGTTGATCGTCGAGCTACTCTGCTAACCGCTGATTAATTTCCAAAGCAACCACCAATCCCGTGTATCGAGCGTCAAGTATTCGAGTCGTGCCGGGATGTTATTACGCAACGAGACTCTCGTCCACGGTCCATTGGCTTTTATCGGCGAGGGAATGGGGTCTGTACCTACCCCTAATCTCTTCGTGATCTCGCGTTCCCGTTCGCACGTAGATCCTGCGCGAAAATATGAAATTAAACCATCTTCGTTTACTCACCACACAGGTATGTCCCGGCGATGCGTGAAAGATTCCTGGGATGGAACGTCCCGCCGGAACATTCCGAGCTCGTACATCCCCACTGGAGAGGGTTCCTTGCACCTGGAAAATACTGGCACATTGGACTAGCGCTCATCTATACCATGCTGCTAGTCATGTCCGTCGTAGGGAATTGTTGCGTCGTATGGATATTTAGCACGTAAGTTTCTACATTTCGTTCACGTCGTGGTGCCCTCCCTCGACAACCCGCAAACTGTTTGTCCGTTTGGATCGATACCAGTGTATACCACTCTGCGAACGTGTACCGACCATCGGTACTCACAATCGTCGCGATGTTCTTACAGATCAAAATCGCTGAGAACAGCTTCCAACATGTTCATCGTTAGCCTGGCGATATTCGACATAATAATGTCTATCGAAATGCCAATGTTTGTAATGAACAGTTTTTTGGAACGTATGGTCGGCTTTCAAATTGGATGCGATATCTACGCGCTGTTCGGATCTGTTTCTGGCATGGGACAAGCCATTACGAACGCTGCCATCGCGTTCGATCGATACAGGTGTTACACGCGATACTTTGTATCTTCTTACCATCACTTTACAGCAATACCGACGTTCTGTGCTCACTCTGTTTCGTTCCACAGGACAATTTCCTGTCCGATCGATGGACGACTCAACTCGAAACAAGCCGCGGTAATCATCGCGATCACGTGGTTCTGGGTAGCACCGTTCTCTATTTTACCGCTACTGAGAGTCTGGGGTCGATACACTTCCGGTAAGAAAACATTTCTGCATTTGGTTTCGTTCTACGTTTACAAGCGTCTGACAAACTCACTCCTCTTCTGCTTGCTCTTGCCAACTGTTACAGAGGGCTTTATAACTACTTGCTCGTTCGATTATCTAACGGAGGATCAAGACACCAAGGTCTTCGTCGTGGCTATCTTCGTATGGTCCTACGTGATCCCCTTGTCGTTTATCGTCTACTTTTACTCTCAATTACTCCAGTCTATTCGCAATCACGAGAAAATGCTACGCGAGCAGGTAGGCCAACGGAAACTCCGTCCTTCGTGGATAACATCGGAAAAACTGACTCCTACTTTACCGACTTGTCCGCGACTCTTTCACAGGCCAAGAAAATGAACGTGAAATCGTTGGTGTCGAATCAGGACAAAGAAAGGAGCGTCGAACTGCGAATTGCCAAAGTGGCGTTCACCATCTTTTTCCTGTTTCTACTAGCATGGACACCGTACGCAACTGTCGCTTTAATAGGGGCATTCGGCAATCGGTAATTGCTACATCTCGCGTCGTAAACGACGTTTGATATTCGTCTGGTTCGACTACCGCTACAAATACGATTATCGTTGCAGGGAACTGTTGACGCCTGTAGCTACGATGTTGCCTGCTCTGTTTGCAAAAACAGTGTCTTGCATCGACCCGTGGATTTACGCGATCAATCATCCGAGGTAACTAACGAGTCGACGTCGTCGCGAATGCAAACGAAACGATTATCGTACAACACACCCTTCCTTCCCTTCTCTTTAGATACCGACAAGAGTTGCAAAAGAGGTGTAAATGGATGGGCATTCGCGAGCCAGAACCGACTCACGACACAGCGTCCGCCCAGACTGAGAAGATTAAAACTGACGACGCATAAATCGAGCTACTTCAACTACGAACCACGACGCGCTTACGGGTATGATCGTTTAATTCGAGTATTCGATCGAGACCACACTTCATCGAGCCACCACAAGTGTGATCTCGATCTCACGTCTTTGGTTTTTACTTTCGATTTACGTATCAGCACGTACAGTCTGAGATTCTTCTACCAAACTATGCACGCCGGATTGTTAAACGCGATCGTAACGGTCTGTACACCGCTATTGCAGATTGTACTCTCATTGAAGTATTAATAAAGGTAATTACAGAGCAATATATCTCCTTCGTTTTTACCTGTCTGTCGGAATTTCCAACTGCGTCGTCGTATCCCGGAACCCCCTATCCATTCCCGCGCTTTCCGATGCACACGCCACGTTACTATTATCTTCCATATCCGTTTCTCCGTCGCACGATTAACACCTTCACTCGAATTATTTTACAACCGCACGTTTATACTCGCGATTTTTATACAAATCGACGATTTCACGTTCGTTTTAAAATACGTAAAGTCGCGGAAACTAGTTTCCCTCTAAAACGCGACCACGGAACCGAACGCCATATTGACACTAATTAATGCGTAGAAGGATGCGCACAAGGAACTGCGTACCAATCCGCGCAGCGTCTTGCGCAGAAATTGTCGCGCGAAAATCTATAGAAATTTAAACGAGATAAATTTCTCACCTAGTACTCTACATGTGTATGTATATTTTTTCAATATCGTATATTTTGTTTTTTCCGTCACGTTTAAAGGCGGTGCGTTTCATGTGTTTAGAAGACCGAGCAAGTAAATTATGAAAAATGAAGTTTCTTTCCTGATAAAATGTTCGGACGTTAATGGAATTACTAAACGGCTTTCAAAGATTTCTCAGTCGAGAAGATAAATATGGGCCTTTAGAACCACGCTGAAAGTTCTCGACGCGTTGATTCAGTGCATTGCTCGTCGGATAAAGTGTACTTGACGAGTTTCTCTTTAAAAATGAATCTTCTTTCGCGATATGTAAACTTCTTTCTCTCTTCCATCACGAGAGGTTTCCCTTAATAGGAAGAAAAAGACGTTGTTTGTGCGGATGAGGATCTCGTTACACTCTCGTTATCTCGATCCCCTTAACTCTTTTGGAATTTTCGCCCTTAAAATTCCTCGGAAGCTGATACCTCGGCGCGAAGGAAAACTATTCTTCTTTCGCGCAGATTTGCATTACACGCGTCCCTCTTTGCATGTACGAGCGAAGAAATCGTAGGAATGTGTTTCGTCGTCACTCGAGAATACGAGAAAGCTTAGATTTCCACAAACGTGGAAGAACGTCGGGGCCTTTGTTTTTTTCCGTCGTTTTAATTCCAAGACGCCCGGACGAAACGGAGGTAATGAATAACGCGGGGGATGGCGTGTAAACTTATGGTTGAAAAGTTTCTTCCGGGTGAGAAACATTGTTCCACGAATACATACGTGCACCGAAAAATTCGCTTACGTGTAATATGCGCCGGTTTGAAAGTAGAAAAAGAAGTTTAGAGACTGACGAACGACCGTGGAACAACGTTCAAAGTTGCGATTTCACGCGTGTCGTGACGGATCGCACTAGACGTTACTTTAGACGTTCCATTTCTCTCTAACTACTGTCCTCGTCATACGAGGATTCCGATTGATCGAGGAAGGCAAAAGACGATTAGAACGCCGGCGGATCGTGTATACGTACGTGCATGCAGATAGCGTACTCGCGTGGCTCCCCGGACAGTAGGCGGGGTCAACGGATAGCCCGGCAGTTCAGTTAATATGCAGTTAGTACGTCATTTGTTTCTCGCCGCTGGGGGGGCTTATCGTAATCTCTGACGTCACGGCGCCCCACGAACTCTCGCGTTAGCGACGCTTAACTCGCAGCAGACCGACAAATTCGTAGATTCTGCGGATGCAGGAAGCTTCGAGCATACACGCGGTTCGGCCCCTTCGGCTAGAATTTCAATCGATTTCACGACGAAACGGCGCCGATTCATCCGGCAAAATGTACTCGAGACTCGTCGAACAATGGAATTTTCAATCGAGCAAAATTCCATCCTACCGATCCTAATCACGGCTCTTTCTCCTTCTTTGTCCATCTGGTGCACGTGGCTTTCGCACAATCAAACTTTTCGACGATTCGTCCCGCTACGAGCGAGTCGAGAAGAGGGAGAGGAGAATAGAGTTTGGTAGGACGAGGGTTCGAAGAAATCCTTGATTAGATGTTCCCGTCAAAGGAACTCTCCGCGTTCTGAGAATCGAAGAAGGAAAACGCCAGGCAGGGGGGAGTGTGGGGAGGGAATTAAAAATTGTTCCAGTCCGCGAACATGGAGGCGTTTCAATCGAAGAGAGCTCGGAAGGGATTGCGCCGTTTCGAGAATGGAAAGGAACGATCCCAGTCGGTTTAAGATACATCCCGTTCTATTTCCTGAGGTCGCACCGGTGCGGCTCGGCGCGGCGGCGACGACCAGTTATGGATGTTGAAAATTCAATTACGCGGGATTTATGGCTGCCGGCGCCCTGTCCACTATCAAATATTGCTATACGACGCGTTCGATTCCCACTCCAAGATTACACGCCGCCTCGTCTTTTATTCGATTCCCCCGTTCGGATCGAAGCGTCACGGGAGACGTTTACGATTATCGGGCTTCCTTGGCGACACGACAACGGCGTACAAAGATGGAACACGTTCCAGTATTATTCCCGCTACACACGTCTAGCATTATCGAGGGATAGTCACTCGCTTTACAGCGCAGTCCCTTTTAAACCCGTCTTAATCCCGGTTAAGCGCGGGGTAATAAACTCTACGGTGCTCATTAAGCCAGACTCTACAGTCTTTTTGTCTCTCGCCGCACGAGATGTGTATTAACGCGAGCAATAAATATCATCGTTATCGGCGTCGTTTCGCCACCTTGTTATCGCGTATTGATTTTCTACCGAGCAACTAAGAGACCGTAACGCAGTCAGCGAGTTTACAAATTTTTCCACGCATTCCCATCGTATACGATTCGTCGAAAAATCTAACTAACCTACGATTCACGGTTATTACCCACCGTCGCCTAGCTACATTCTGTACGTAGGGTTGAGCTCGTCATTTCGAGACGGCTAGCGGGCAAGTCACAATCGTTTCATCCGAAACGTCGCGTCGGGGAAAAAGTCAGCTGTAAAACTTTCGTTCGGATAGAATTTGCTTACCACGCGAACTGCATCTTCGACGATCTTATCGCCGCGACGGAATGATTTATCTTCCGTGTCGGGAATCTCTGGCATGGTTTATCGGCAATTCCAGGTACGCGATAGACGGGCAACGCCGCGACGCGACGTCCTTTTCACGGAGACGTGCACTTTGCGCACCGTCTTTCGACATTACGCGTTTCGTTGCTCTGCTCGCCTCTCGTTAGTGAACCAATTTAAGACGCTGTTGAGTTAAATTCTCTGTGCTTCGGCGGGTGTAACGAAAGAGGAGGAGGAGGCTCGTGGTTCGTCCTGGAAGCTGAGGAATCGGCGAGAAATGCGTCTGACGGTCGGGGAGGGACAGGAGGAGGAGAGAAGGGGGGAAGTTTGAGGGCGAAAGAAAACGGTGAAACTAATTTCAAAGCTGTTAAGAGCATTACGAAGGTATGTCCCCGACGAGCGTAGACGGGCGTAAAAGAGACGCGCGGGCGCGCATTTAGTCTCGGACACGAAAGCGAGCAGCGCTGCGCGGTACGGCACGGGACTAAACGGAAGGAGCAGCTTTAGGAATCAAGTCGACGCTCTCGTCTCTCCTCTCTGGACTTCCGTTTCACGAGGTTTAGAAACACTCGAGCTAAATCCTTTCGAAGCGGCAGCCGTGGGGGCTGTGCCACTGAGAACAGTGAGGAAGAGGGGGGTGGAAAGAAAACAGGTGAGCGGGTTAAATCGAAAGGGTAGGAGGAGAGCTGACTGGTTAAAGTGGAAAAAGCAAGTTGGCCCAGTGCGATGCAGCTCGGACAATAGTTGGCCGTCGTCGAGGGGGTTGGCTAGAGGAGAAAGGTTGGGAGAGAGCGAACCCTCTCTCGCAGACTGAAATACTAAAGCGAGCTTAAGTGCGTTGCCATAGGGACCAGCTGGAGTCGAGGGGCGAGGGGATGCGGTTGTCGGCAGAGAGTGAGAGAGCCACGTCCCGCGTACTTTCCGAAACGCGCTAAACCGCTCGGAAGTAGCCAAGTTGGAGATTCGCCGCCGGTCGCTTTGCTCGACACAACTCCAAGGAACCTGTAGACACCACGAGCATTCGGTTCGACTTCTTAGACTCGGCTGGACGCGCACATTGCAATACACCTCGTGACGTTCCCCTGCGTGTTTCTCGTTTCGTTAAACCGCCACGTAACGCCAAGTCGAACGAACATCACCGCGCCACGCCAACTGAATTGTCGTACACCTCCTACAAACTAGACTCGGCGTGGGTATTGCTCGATTTATTATTTGCAGCGCATGCTGTCGCACGTCCGTAACAATACTTCGTAAGTTCGTAATTTGCATCTCGTTGCAGATGTATTCCGTGTATCAGCTCGCTGGCACGGTCGTTAAACGAGTTTCCTCTTTCCCCGTTTCTCCTTTTCTCTTCACCGCTCGGCAGAACGCTGCTACAGCATTCCGTTTCCCGTTTCTCCCGCTGAACGATTCGAGGATTCCTCTCGGTAGTTGACGCGGCATTCGCCCGGAGAAAAAGAAAAATTTGATTATTCGCTCCACGATGTACCCGATCATAATTGCGAGGGACGTTCTCCCGTCGCCTGTCCCCCCTTTCACGTGACACCGAAAAAAGTAACCTTCCAAATTGCCATTTTACCTTTCGCTCGGGAACTCGTATAAAACGCGTTAACGGCGCATTACTTACTCCATACGCGCCGTTCTCAAACAACTCCACCGCTAGACCGTATTAATACGCTTTTTGCGCGAAAACCATGCCAGACAAAGGTCGGCGAATCGCTTAGACAAAGACGAAATTTTTCGCCGCGCCCCGCGTTCCCCCTCGACCAGTTTCGAGGGTCCTTCGGGGAGCTCCATAGGAGGCAGAAAAAGGAGCCAGTTGTTTTCTCCCTGGAGTCGATGCTTGCCGACCGTGCACCTTTTTCCACCACCGTAATTTCGCATTCATTTTTTCCCTCTCCCCCCTCGTGCACTTTCGGTTTCTTTCTCTCGGTGCCACTTTCAGAGCTGTTTCGCACTCCCCCATCGGTAGTGTCCCGTTCGCCTCTCCAACTGCACGGGGAAACACAGAGGGGGTGGAAGATTGTCGGACGGAAACTAGGC